GTCGCCTTCATTATCTCCTAATTATTCTGGAGTTCAGATCTTGAAATTCTACAGAGCATCGTTGAGCTATAGCTATAATATCATGTGGGCTATATAGTCATAATTACAATGGTTGTTTGACGACTGGGTTCGAATTTGGGTACAACGGTTGTTCGGCTCGGGCAGTCTTAATAACAGCTGTCTTAATAATGACCGAAAACCCGTTGTACCCATAATTATAAAGTATTTTGAGATATTCTCCTAGATACCCTGAGTATTGGATTCTACAGGCTGTACGATGTACTTATGTATCATACGAATCCGTAGAGCATTTTGCTCATAGATCTGTGCAACTCCTGAATCGGATACAGGAGAAGATCGACGCAACTCTATGGTGGCAGCAGGCAAATTTCCGTGCTGGAATATCTTGTTGAATCATAGTATCTCACTCCGTATCATACTGAAGAAAATGCTTCCGACGGACTCAATCACGAGTATTTATGGCGAGTCCAGAGGCACAAGAGAGTTCCACAGTATGAGCAACCGGTGGAAACTAACGATTTTAAATTGGCTCACTACTTGACTACCCTATTGGTCCCAAGCAAATCGATTAACGTACTCCATTCTAGTTGAAATTCTAGTACTACACTATGTTTGTTTTGATTCGCTATGAAAATTTGACAGATAAAATGAGGGGTTCGTGGATTTTCCTATGTTTCGAGGGGTGCATCGATTAGCTTGGGACCGAAGAGAGTACCAGAGCTGAGCCAAAAACATGAGCATATTTCTTCGGGACCTTCTGGTCTTAGATTTACCTTTATGGTATGAGGCTACTAAAGGTATAACAGGCCAGTGTTGGAAGTTCATTTTCAAAAAAAGTTCTTTCGCAGTTCTTCAGAGAATAATTTTGCAGCAGAACTAGCTATGCGAAAATCCCGAACGAAATGAGAATAAAAGTTCCCGAAACAGTTCAGTAAACGAGAATTCCGATTTCGCTCTCTCAACCTATTTCACAAAAAAAAAATCGATAAAAGAGGTAGCTGAGGTTCTTGTCTCCTATGTCATGTTTCGTTGCGGAGCAGAATGAAATTATCATTTATCAATTTTCATTTACTTGTGTGCAGTTCGTATGGAATTTTCCACTGGCTTTTTAACCAAAAGTAAGTTAGTTGTACCCAACAGTAGGTAAATATGATTATACTCAACGTTGGGTTCCCACACTTTACTACCCCTGTTGGGTGGTTTTGCTACTCCGTTTTTGACAACATTAGAAGGAGAAAAGGAGACAAACTAGTCAATAGTAGGTAAAAGTGAACTTTCCGTTGGGTACTTTTTTCTTACCGTGTAGCTTAATTTCTGCCACTCTTTTGATGTTTTCTTTTTCTAGATTAGGTGTTATGCTTTATGCATGTTGATATTTAGGTTGCATACATGTAGGAGCTACCCGTGCGATATAATTGGTGGAAGTATACATTAAGGATGCATTTAATACACATTTATAAGGTTTTCACTTTCTGTAGCTCTTGTTTTGTGTTACTCATAACAGCAATTCAAACTTCAATGGTTGCTCACGAGTTACCAATAAATCGGCGCCGCCGGGATGTTCTAAGGCATAACATCTCTGGTGCTCAGCACGGAAAACAAAATAGACGTAAAACAAATCAAGGAAGAAAAAAAGAGCTACCAATAAAAAAAAGTTCACGAGGCAAAGTTCACGAGGCAAAGTTCGCAATACATTTCATCACATACTGGGAACAAAAAAATGTACAAGGAAGCTAGAGCATTCGTTCCACTCAATCTCAAACAAGAAAGTTCGCTCGAGATATAACGCTTTGTGAAATTCCCATCGATAATTTCCTTAGTGAAAGCATCTCGCTAGCGATATTAAACTTTTGGCGATATTTCCAACACTGTTATAACAGAGGCTTGTCCGCCTTTATCCGAGTAGTAGCTGGTATGAAGCAAGAATGTAGACTATTGCCACTATTGTTACTCATCTTAGTCGACGAGATCTTGGTAGGTGCAATTGATAGTATTGCCTGAAACGTAGGCTGTTTTGGCAGCCAATAAGGACTGTTCATTAAAGAAGGTGGACACCTGTTTATCAATGGTTTAGGGTTAAAACGTAACGAAAAATTGTGTATTTTCACTCAGTGTGTAAAAACATTGTTTATTTTTGGCAACACACCTGAAAAATAAAAAATAAAAGTGAGAAATTTTGAACGATGGGTCGGATCAGCTTATCAATTCGCAGATTAATTCTGCACAAATGGTTTTCTGAAAAGTTGTCGTTCCGCGAATTGGCAAAAAGTGTGAAGTGCAGTAAATGTACAGTGTTCAAGATTGTTAAGAAGTTTGGAGAAACGTGTTCTATTGAAGATTTACCGAAATCTGGGCACAAAAAGGGGGCATCGGACCAGAAAAAGGAGCGTACGCCTTTTGAAATCGCAAAAACCGTGTTCCGTTCGTGAAATTTCCAAAAAAAAATGGACATTAGCGTCGGAACTGTGCAGAACATCAAAGAATCTACAAGACACCAAAAATCACCCAAAAAGACGTATTTACAGAAAGTTTCTTCGAAAATACGGTCACGGAATGTATGCTGTTCTCCTTCAAAAGCCGAACCGTATGTCAAATTTGATACCAGTACACTTCCCAGGCCGCAATTTTTCAACGCTGAGCAGAGGACAGATGTGCCTGATGATGGTGCGATACATCCGAACCGAAAAATTTGGAAAAAAAACGGTTTTAGTGTGGCAAGCCGTTTGCTCCTGTGGCTTGAAGAGTTCTTCGTATTTCACAACGGGCACAATCAATGGTAAAAATTACAGAAAATAATGCATCAAAAAAATTCAAAAATCCCCAAACTGCGTCCTATCGAAAGATACTGGGCAATAACTAAACGACATTTTAAGAAAAAAAGAAAGAGAAGAAAGCTTTGTTGACTGCTTCAAAAAAATTGGTCTGCAGCACAACGAAAAATTAAGAAGAAAGTTGTGGAGAATCTAATGCGCGGTATCAAGAGAAAAGTCCGAGCGTTCTTCAGAAATGAGAAGTAAACATTCAAACTCACGTGGAATCGGTCATATGTATGTTTATTTTCATTTATATAAAGTAAACTTATGAATTTGTTCGAAAATAAATATTTTCCCTTGAGAAACAGGTGTCTACTTTCATTAATGAACAGTCCTTAGAGCTTCTTAACGGCTTCGATTTTGTTGATTCTGTTGATCTGTTAGCACAACGGTGCTCTGATATGCTGAGTTAAAACAACGACCAAGGCTACAAAAAACCCAATGGTTTTGACAGTTCGGAAAACTGCACATTTAAATCGGCCGTTTACGATTTTCTGGCATAAGTCAGCATTAAGTGTCATGTCGGTTTGTCGGTGATAGCGCTATAACATGTCATAACTCTGTAGTCTGAACAAGGCATTAAATGTAGGTTGCATATATTTATGCGCTATCCGTAAGTTTTATTGCGGGAAGTATAAAGTTAGGTTGCATTTAGAACACTTTTATAGGGTTCCCACTATCTGTAACTACTGTTTTACGTAGCTCATGCGACCCATTTAGTTGAATATGCTATCAGATTTAGAAAATGCTTGTTTTGCTACTAAAGATGTTTTTCCACAAAATCACTTCGAACATTTATACGTGGTCAGGTCATGAACAGTTTCACTTTTTGCTGAATATTAACAATTTGGAAAATCTGCGAACCCTACTGGCCAACCCCTATCTTCAACATAACAGCCTTGCTTAGACCATATCCAATCTTTGAGACTTAATTTTTAACCTTATTTCCCATATTTATTATAAATTATTTAAGCTGTGCAATTTAAGCAAAAAAAAATACCAAAATTTCGGTTTTCGATTAATCCCATCTGTTCCGTTGGAGCACATGTTGCTTCCAACCCTGATGGGAATAGAACATGAAACCAGATGCTTCCTAAACGCTGCAAAAAAACAGATCCTAATTTAATTCCCCATACAAAACCGCAAACCCTTTTGAACTGGAAAAAGGTTGTCCCCCGAGTTACGCGGTTACACTGCTTCTGGTTATTTCATGAAGAACCCCAAATAAAAAAATGATCTACTCAAAATGCAAAAAAAAAACATCACAAACCCACCAACTTCCACCGTCTTCCAGATGTTGTGTTTTTATCTGCTTTTGTTTTTTGCTTTCGTGGTTCCACTTTTACAATCTACCTTCGTTTTTTGCTCAAACCAAATTTGCAACATTTATATCGTCCGGCTGCTGTAGGTTGTCACCATCGTTCCCATCATCATCATCATCAGAATGTTGTTTTTGCTTTCGTGATCTCCAAGGAAGCTCGTAATAATAATTACGATTAGTGCCCACAAAACACGACCAATCCGAGCGCGCCGAGAGGCGACAACACTATAACCAAAAAAAAATCCAGGTCCGACCCTTGGTGGTCGTTTGAGTGGTGGGTGCGTGGTGTAATCCGATCGCATCGTTCCTCCCCAACCGACCCACCTTGCTGGTTGCTGGTTCACTCTCTGGTGGTGGGTAATTTGATAGCTACTTTTCTCCCTCTTTACGAGCGTTTATAATCCCCCGAGGGTGCTGCAGTGTGAGGTCCTCCAACCAACACACTAAACCATATGTTGCAGCCGGGTCGATTTTCCGGTCGAGTAAACTGAATCACGGAATTTGTGTTATTTTCCCCCTTCGACTCACCGAGGTTTACCTATACTTACTCCTAGGTGGAGTAATAGCACGGAATTCGAAACTCGTGTACAACTCGAGAAGGGAGTGAAATTTGAGACTGTTCTGCCTCACCTTGTGGTTGCACAGGCAGGCGCAGTTCATTTTGCGGTTCTTTAGCTTTTACGCTCAATTTAGCTTCTCACCCGAGCGTGTTTGGTATATGTACGTGCGTTCCCAGTCTCTGGAAGCGAGCAGTAGTCAAACGATTTCAACGCCTCGCAAGTGATGAACTCCACATTAAATACCTACTAACCAATTGTTTTTCTTCTGTTTCCATTTTTTCGCAGGGCAAAGCGCGGGGGAGAAGGTCAGCCGTATACATGCGATCCCTGTTCCAGTCCCATCTCTACAACCTTGGCTGTTCGATACAGAAACACGCGGGAAAGGTGTTATTCGTAGCAATATTAGTTCTAAGTACATTCTGTGTGGGCCTCAAATCTGCGACGGTGCATTCAAAAGTGCATCAACTATGGATACAGGAAGGCGGTACGTTAGAACACGAACTAGCCTACACACAGAAATCCCTCGGCGAAATGGACTCCTCGACGCACCAGCTACTGATACAGACCCCCAAGGACATGGAAGCCTCGATACTGCACGCCAACGCATTGCTCACGCATATGGAAGTGGTGAAACAGGCGATTTCCGTCCGAGTGCACATGTACGACATCGAGTGGAGCTTGAAGGATATGTGCTACTCGCCGAACATCCCAAATTTCGATACGCACTTCATCGAACAGATCTTCGAGAACATCATTCCATGTGCGATCATCACTCCGCTGGACTGCTTCTGGGAAGGTAGCAAGTTACTGGGACCTGAATATCCGGTTGTCATTCCGTAAGTTCTCTACCACATTCCTTCTCTCACTAGATACTTACCTTGCTTTTACTCCACCCAAACAGACACCTGGCCAACAAGGTTCAGTGGACCTCACTAAACCCGCAGAACCTGCTCAAGGACATTAAAGCTCAAAACTATCAGTTCCCTTTCGATACGTTGGAGCAGTACATGAAGCGTGCTGGAATCGGAACTGGTTACACGGAAAAGCCTTGCCTCAATCCAAAGGACAAACAGTGCCCGGAAACGGCTCCAAACAAGAAATCCCAGCAAACTCCGGACGTGGCGTCCACGCTCACCGGAGGTTGTTATGGTTTCGCAGCCAAATACATGCACTGGCCTGAAGAACTAATCGTCGGTGGGGCTACGCGGAATCGATCACAGCACTTGAAGACAGCCAAAGCTCTCCAAACTGTTATCCAACTCATGGGCGAACGGGAAATGTACGAATACTGGAACAATCACTACAAAGTGCACCACATCGGATGGAATCCGGAGAAAGCAGCCGATGTGTTAAATGCATGGCAGAAGAAATTCTCAGCTGAGGTAAAATCAAGCCTTCTTGATCTTTTTTATCAAATCTCTAACAAATGTTCTTCTCCCACCCAAAATAGGTCAACAAGATCATGCAGACGGAGGTTAAACCACTGTCATACTATGAAGTGTATGCCTTCTCGTCGGCAGCTCTGGACGACATCCTAGGCAAATACTCCAATCCGAACCCAATCAGTCTTGGCATCGGAGTGGTCGTCATTCTGATCTACGCAGCCATAACGCTACTTCGGTGGAATGATCCAGTCAATGGTCAAAGTGGCGTGGGTGCAGCCGGAGTTTTGCTCATCGGAGTAACAACTGCAGCTGGACTGGGATTCTGTGCCCTGCTAGGAATTGCCTTCAATGCTGCGACGACTCAAGTAATACCGTTCCTTGCACTCGGATTGGGTGTAGATCATATATTCGTGCTTACACACGCCTACGCCGAGCGAGACAACAACGAACAAACTGGACAAGTCTTGAAGAAAGCTGGTTTGAGTATCCTTTTCAGTGGTGCTGCGACGGCGGGTTCCTTTTTTGCTGCCGCTATGATCCCCGTTCCAGCTCTCCGAGTATTCTGCTTCCAAGGAGCAGTCCTTCTCGTTTTCAATCTAGCTGCCGTCCTACTGGTATTCCCCGCCATGGTCTCTTTGGACCTGCGACGACGACGAGCTGGACGGGCAGACATCCTTTGCTGTTGCCTTCCAGCACTGCCCACCACGAACCAAGATCTTAAACAACGCCAACAACACCAACCATCCAACCCTGATGATTCCCTCATAGACTGTCCGGCTAAAGCCTGCTTCAGCTTCTCAATTTCCAAGTTTGCCGTCAAACACTACGCTCCATTCATCACGAAGAGTTCAATCAAAGTCCTGTCCATGTTACTCCTCACCGGTATTATAGGCGTTTCGCTATTTGCCTCGATGAAGCTCCCCGATGGCCTTGAACTAACCGACCTGGTACCTCAGAACACCAACGAACACAAGTTTCTCAGCGTTCAGGGCAAGCTCTTCGGATTCTACAGCATGTTCGCCGTCACACAGGGAGACTTCGAATACCCAACCAATCAGAAGCTACTGCACGAATACCACGAAGCGTTCGTAAGAGTGTCGCACGTAATCAAGAACGACAACGGAGGTCTACCGGAGTTTTGGCTAAGTCTGTTTCGAGACTGGTTGATCAATCTACAGAAAGCATTCGATCGAGACTATCGGGAAGGGAGGATAACGCAGGAGCGATGGTTCCCGAATGCTAGTGACGATGCGATCCTAGCGTACAAATTACTAGTTCAAACCGGTCACGTGGACAATCCAATCGACAAGAGTTTGGTGGCACAGGTACGACTGGTGGACTCGGAAGGCGTTATCAACCCAAGAGCTTTCTACAACTATCTATCGGCGTGGGCCTGGAACGATGTCCTAGCGTATGGCGCGTCACAGGTAGGTTAATTTTACGGTTATTTGATTCGTGGTTCATTGGAAATAATTATGATGTTTTTACGCATCAATAGGGAAATTTGCGCCCTGAGCCACGGGAATGGTTCCATTCGCCGAGTGACTTTGAGTTGAAGATTCCGAAGAGTGCACCGCTGACGTACACACAGCTGCCATTCTATCTGCACGGACTGAGCGATACCCAGGATATTAAGGTTATGATCGGACAGATCCGTGAGCTGAGCAGGAGGTTTGAAGCGAGAGGCTTACCCAACTACCCGTCAGGTAAAATCAGAAAAATCTAATAACTTTAATTAGATCATTGAGTAACACCTTGCATTCCGTTCCACAGGAATCCCGTTCCTCTTCTGGGAACAGTACATGAACCTTAGGCCGTGTCTGCTGAAAGCTATCGGATGTGCTCTGGTGGCAGCATTCTGTTTGGTCGCTTTGCTGCTGATGTCCGTTTGGGCGGCCATTCTGATCGTGTTCAGTATCGTAACGATGCTCATCCAGCTGTTGGGAGTCATGATTCTGCTCGGAATCAACCTGTCGGCCATTCCTGCGGTCATATTGATAGCCAGCATCGGCTTGGGTGTCTGCTTCACCGTTCACGTGTCATTGGTGAGTTTTTTTTTTTTTTTGCTGTTTCATAGCCTTAATATTAATTTATAAAGATATAAATTTAGTTAAGGTGAATGTCGATAGAATTTGAGTTCTGACGGCACGAATCTCAGAAACTATCAATATTTCGTGTGCGAAACTATAATCACTCATGTTTCTGAGATTCGTGCTAAAAAAAAACAATAGCCGCTATCATTTATGGATTCTATCAACTTTCACCTTAAGTAGTTGACTTAATTGAAATTCCCATCAGACTAGATTAGACTGCTTGGTGGGTGGGTTGGTTGATTAAGGTGATTTCTAGCCAGACGCTGGTTCATCTCCGACCTTAGATTAGACCTTGCTTCCCATTCGTATCAACTGTATGGCGTAAAATCAAAACTAACATTCTATTTCCTATCGAACAGGGCTTCATCACAGCGATCGGTAACCGTGATCGTCGGATCAAACTAGCACTGGAACACTCGCTCGCCCCTGTGATCCATGCCGTGATGACTTCCATCCTAGCGGTCCTAATGCTGTCGACCTCATCCTTCGAGTTCGTAGTCCGGCACTTCTTCTGGCTGTTGCTCTCCGTTCTCGTAATCGGAGCCATCAACGGCCTGTTCTTCTTCCCGATCTTACTGAGTTTGGTAGGACCGGGAGCAGAAATCATCCCTCTGCAGTATGCCAACCGAATATCCACACCATCGCCACCACCGAAACGAATCAACAAAATATCGAACAAGGCGTTCATCCTGAACAACAAACGATCCTCGTCGAGGAACTGTTCGAAATCGCACCACCATCACAAGCACAACAATGTCAACGTCAATAACGAACCCTCACTAACGACCATAACGGAAGAACCACAGTCCTGGAAAAGTTCTGCCTCCTCCATACCGTCGATCCACGAGAAAAGTAACCTGAATGTCAACTATGGCAACCATCAGGCACCGGAACTGCAAAGCATCGTACTTCAGCCGGAGGTCACTGTCGAGACGCACCACCATGGAGGTGAACATCAGAATACGAAAGTAACTGCCACTGCCAACATCAAGGTCGAACTGGTGACCCCAGGTCGGGGCGCTCCCCGGATGGTCAGGACGAGCAGCACCAGTAGCAGTAGTGGGAACAGTAGCAGTTAACAAGTAGGTAGCTTTAGATAAACCTGTACGCATTTGTAAATAGGTCAATTCCTTCTTTTATTCTAAATAATATAAAATGCTACAATTTATTTATTTGTTTTCCCTCCTCCAAATGAAGAAAGTATTATTTTACTACTAGAGTAGCAAAATCCGTTGAAGATTTATGTCTATTTTCGCCAATACTCAACAAGATTGAAGAACGTGTCTAATGTTAAAAGCATAAAAGCGAATCGATTGTGTATTTTGCGTCGATGGACCCCTCGGCGCGTGTATAGCAGCTTGAAATTTGTTCCTCCATTTATTCGAAGAGAAAGATCAAAACAAAGCAACGACGAACTGATTAAACTAGTGTAGTACGACTGTAGTAACTTGTAAGACTTGTATCTTCTGCAGCAGTATAGAAACAGAGAGCCAAGATGATCTATTTCTTACAATCCTTCTAATCATGTAAAATAAAACAAATCCTAACTTTATCTACTCAATTGCGGGTTCGAGACACGATGATGCATGCTTTAAGGCCAAATATTTTCAGTTTTATAAACGAAATTTTTACTCCTATAGCTTATTTTGCCGTTAAACTGCAACAAAACTAAGTGTAAATAGCAACCAAGATTCGAAAGAGCGTGTATAATTCCCACACAATAAAAAAAAAAAACAAAATAGAAAGTTTATTTTTCTGACAAAAGTCGTACTTAAGAGTAACCAATTTTGCTTTTCTGTAACATAAACTACAAAAGCACTTAACTATAGAAACGCATAAATGTATACCGAAAATGAACTAAAGACAGAAACCAAACGCATTTCATCAGCAATTATCCAATTGTTACTAAAACAAAAAGCAACAAAAAATAAAACAACCGAAATCTATTGTTACATAATTCTGAGATTGTTTGGCTTCTTCTTTCAAAATTATTCTCTCAAAAAATAGCAATTAATATATTTTGAGCAACTAAAACGGAAAATCGAACTGTACAATGAAATCAAGAAACTTTTCTATCGTATGTATTTAAGGATGTTACCAATTTTGAAGAAAGTTTTCCACGCCTGAACAAAATGGAACATACAAAACTTAACGAACGACAGAATCAAAGCAAAGGTTTTGCGGTGTTACTTTGTTTAGTTAGAAAACTTATTACTGGTATATTAAGAAGAAAACAACAAAACGAAATATTTTTTTTATTATTATAAACGTAAAAGTAAACAAATATTATTACCCTAAAACAAACAACTAAGAACCTATTTATTTATTGTCTGCCGATTGCTCAGGCACAAACGTAAGGTAGTAATTTAAAAAATAAATCTTTATTTTTTGTTAAAAAGAAAAACGCATTCGGAAGTACCGGAGAGGAGAAAGAAGGAGGGCGGAAAGATGGAATTTTTGCTGTAGATGAGAGAATGCTGATGCTGAAACTACATTACGGCATGATGAAGAGTACAAGCTGAATCGGAAAGAATGATATTTGCGGTTGTAATTAGGAGCTAATACCGGTGAACCCCGGTGAGCACGACGCGAGTAGAAGAAAGTTAGTAGGGAACAAATCTGTATAGGCAGTGATGATTGATTGTTTGATTGATTGATGATTGTGGATATGTTATTTTAAATGGAAAAAGAGAAACAGCACGCTAGGTAAGAAACAAAAAACGGAAAATTCTTAACGAGTCTAGTAGGTTTACAATATTTGAGTTTTATACTATGTATGGTAACGTGTTTCCAAATAAAACAAGAAAAAGCAGCAAAATAAATGCATGGTATTGCCTGTAACTAAATATATAAACCTCCAGAATTTTAAAGTAGACGGATAATATCACACCCATCGGTATAATATCACATCAAAGGAAATTAAGCTTGACGTTTTCCTCGAACATTGGGACGGATGCCAATAGTAACTACCATCACAGACAAACATACAAGACACTTTGTATTAATTTCCATCGTAGGTAAACAGTTGTACCACAGACAAACATTTCGCACACTTTCATCGAATAAGCAATTAACGGTCAATTTAAAGTTTTCTTGGTTGATAGTATCACCAACAATCAATACGAAACTAACGATTTTAAATTGGCTCACTACTTGACTAGTCTATTGGTCCCAAGCAAACCATTAACGTTCCCCATTCTAATCAAAATTCTAGTACTACACAATGTTTGTTTTGATTCGCTATGAAAGTTTGACAGATAAAATGAGGTTAGTGGATTTTCCTATGTTTCGAGGGGTGAATCGATTAGCTTGGGACCGAAGATAGTACCAGAGATGAGCCAAAAAGTTGAGCACGTTCGGGACCTACTTATTATTATTTTTTTATTAAAGAGACTTTCAGCCGTAGGCTGGTTCGTCTCTGAAAAAAAAATGAAAATACAGTTAATTCAAATTAATTGTTTTTTTTTTTCACTTTCTTCCTAGCTGATTATTTTTGCTCCTCGTCTTGACTGGTGAGTCCGGAACTGACAATTCGTCTTCTTTATCTTCCATCGAATTTTCATTTCCTGCTGATTCATTATTCTGGCAACCCTGGTTCGTAACATATCGTTTCGCATTGTTGTGTTTTTGTTTCGTTGACAGCCTTCGTTTGTTGGTGACGGTTAGAAATTCATCCGATTCACTATCCGTCGATTCTTGTGCGCTATTGTTTCCATCGGAGTGTTGGTGCTGGGTGTTTTTACTGGTTTCGCCTATTGTATATTGGGTTTGATTGGTATCCAATAATGTTTGTTCGCTGTTTCCATCGTTTGTGACCTTTTCTGCGTCTGTAGGGTCATTGCGGTCATTGACAGTAATGCGTGATGTAGAGCTATTGCACTTTTGTCGGGGATGAGCCTTTTGTCCACAGAACCTGCAGGTTTTTGCTTGGTTACGATATGTAATCAAAGTTGTCTCACCGTCGATCATCAGATAGGAAGGGATGAGTTGTTTGATCTTCATCCGTACTATACGTACTCCATTGTGGATGCCGGGAAAATAATTCTTCCACATTTCTCTGCTGATGGAAAGAATAGTACCGTATGGTCGCATACTTTCTATAATCACCGTGCTAGGTGTTTTCGGAGGGAGATCATGGATTCTCACGTTAACGGCTTCGTCTTCCACGAACACGGGAATTTTGTAAGCTTTTTTCTCACACTGCATAGCGTGTTTTAGATGGTGTGATGCAAAGAAGCGCTTGGCTGTTGCTGCATCTACCATCTCGACGTAGACACAGTTTCTAACATTGTGAAACTGGATGTTTAAGGCGTCCGCTATGTCCAGTTTCAACTCACCGTACATGAATTTCTGTACGGCAGATGCATCTGGTCGCTTCGGCAGCACACTAAAGTCTACTACCAAGGTGTTCTCCCGTTTAGCACCCATATGATAAAAAACTCATAAGCTTGTAACCTGATAACGAGATGGATAAAAGAAACACGTCTTTCACGCACAGGGCTTAGCTGTCAACTGGGGACCTACTCTAGTCTTAGAGTTACCTCTATGGTATCACCACCTATGGCGCTCACAGTCATGACGTTTAAACACTAGCACCGACAAACCGACATGAAACTAAAACTTAACTCTTGATCGATAATCCATAACGGTGGATTCAAATGTGCAGCGATCCCATCTGTCAAAACCATAGAAATTTGTTATCTAGATAAAAATAATTTGCCCGGAATAGATTAGACACGAACCAACTCATACATTTAGTATGTGTGTTCGTGGCTAGGATACACATTTTTCGCGAACACGACGGCAGATGTCAGTTTTGTGCTTTGATCAGAAATTTGATGATACTTTGTATGATCATTCATGTCGGTTTGTCGGTGACACTACCGCCATCTGTTGAGCGTGCTACCCATGATAATGCACTCAACGGATGGCGACGGTGTTTTTCAGTGATAAATATGTCATGTGTTATGTGTTTGTCTGTGGTTGTACATCCAGTATACTGATTAAAAATTAATCTAAAATGAGGATTTACATGTAAACTGACGAATCATGATCGATCTGTCTCGACCATATCCAATGTCGATGAAACTTTGTATTATTACTCGCAATGGGTAATATCAATCCAATTTCTGATGAAATTCTGGCTGAATCAGCCCCATAATATCTAGATCCAATACATGTGAAGTGTAGCTGAAAATTCGTGGTTTCTGGTTCCACTGTATCGGCCGTTTTAATGGTGTAATTTTGACGTAGGACTACGTCTCTGATTTCTATATGGGGGTACACTTTGCGAAAACCTAAAAAGGAACATGTAACACAATTATGAAAGCTTTTGAGCGTTAATAACTCAGCTGTCCCTGGACTAATTTCAATAATATTATCACTAATCGATCAGATATATTTCTACGCATCTGTTGAATTCAAGACTTTATCATTTTTCAAAATTTCACTATTGAAAATTGCACGAATGTGCAACTGTTGCTTTGATAATAAAATTAAAACCAATTGCGTGTGAAAAGCGATTTCCCTAACACAGATTTCAAAGTTGAATTTCATCCGCACTCACCAAACGGTGTTTATTCAATCACCGCGTGGTGAGTGGTGGTGTTCTCCAGTACATAACGAAAGGCTCCTCGCAAGCAGCTAGCTACCAAGGCTGGCCTCAACCGCTGATCGGATTCAGTTTCAATCACCGTGTGTGGTGGTGTCCGGTCGTCGGCATCAGCAGCAGCAGTGCTTTCGGCGCGTGGCGTTGAACATTGTTCTGCAGTACTTAACGAAAGGCTGCCTGCAAGCAGCGAGCTGCAGCCCGCATGAGCATCCATATAAGGAGGAAGAAGCTGCACCGCTATTTATTGGAATCAGTAGCTCTTCGTGAGTCGCTCTGGGCCATTTATGCCAAGCGCGTCACCCTCATTCCAAACAACATACAGCTCACCAGCCTCATCTGTGTTTAACACCCTAATTGCTCAGCATTACTCAACCATCACGACAAAACGGTTCTTTTCAGGACCACCATAAATTTGTAAAAGAGTATTTTTTGGATCGGATGTCAGTTCCCAGACTTTATCATTTTTCAAAAAATTGCACGGATGTGCACCTTTTGCTATGATGATTAAAATTATCACCAATTGCCTGCGAAAATCGATTTCCCTACCACAGATTTCAAAGTTGAATTCCAACCCGTCTCACCAAAAGGTGTTTATTAAATCACCGCGTAAGTGGTGGTGTTCTCCAGTACACAATGAAAGGCTGCCTGCAAACAGAGAGTTGCAGTCCACATGAGCATCCATAGAAGGAGGCAGAAGGCGCACCGCTATTGATCGGAATCAGTAGCTCTTCGTGAGTTGCTGTGGGCCATCTATGTCAATCTCGTCATACTAAAGAGTATAAATAGAGAGAACCCCGCTCAAATTCCTATTCCTACACAAAATACAAGCTCCTGCTGCACAATTAAGAATTATTATATAAGACCACATAGTTCTACCAACGTTCTACCACCTACGAACCGGCGTGCCAGCTCATAAAAGCTACATTCAAATTCTTGCCCAAGACGGCATATTTAAAATACGTTAAACACTACCGCCATCTACTTATCCGATCGCGTCATATCGTGAGAAAGGACACGAACACTCGTAAAATTTATATTGACTTGGTTTGCGTCTCGCCTCGTTTGACAGATCTGATCGTCCGTTTGACAAATCGAATCGCTCATTTGACAAAACGAATTGAGGACAAACTTGATGCTCCAGTGGCATGTCGGTTCGTCGGTGGTTCTACGTCACCATTGCGTACAACCCCATAGTTTTTTTTTGACGTAGGACTACGTCTTTAATTTCTATATGGGGGTACACTTTGTGAAAACCGAAAATGGAACATGTAACAAATTAAGAAAGATTTTGAACGTTAATAACTCAGTTGCCCCTGGTCCAATTTCAATAATTTTATCACCAATCGATGAGAAATATAGCTACGCATCGATAACAATGCTTCCTAATGTTGATTTTAATCAAGAAACTATTGAAAAACTGGTAAATGTCCAGCATTGTCCAAAAGCGTCGAATTAACTAACAAATCCACCAATTACCTACATGCATATGCTGCTTCCCCAGCACAGTCGTCAGAGAGTAGTAAGTAGACGAAACAAGTCGAAGTGGCCTTCACCTCCGATCCTCGGGCGCGTGCGAATAGGGAGGATGGAATTGCGTAATATTTTGCACACTCATCGCCATATTCAGAACCAAACGCAAATTCTTCGAGATAACCACCATCCGTCGTCTGGCTCGCCGTGGCGGTGTCTGACTTATCTCCGGTCTGATCTACGAGGCGTGCTGAAGGTGTTCCTGAAAAATGAGATCCGTGATGCTGTCACCTACACTAAACACGCCAAGCGTAAGCGGCCATGGATGTCATCTACGTTTTGAAGTGACAGAGAAGCACTCTGTTTGGTTTCGGAGGTTGAATAATCACCAACTTTGGCATCAAAACGGCTCTTTTCAGGGCCACCAAGCTTATTACAGTAAAGAGTAGGAATAGAATTCATCTGCCTGTTTGTTCATATTCAGAACCAACGACCACACAAAATGCTCATGTAATCAAACTTGAAACAGGGGTACAAATTATTTTGATCAACCTTGATCAACTTTGAATCGCCATGGCCGGATATTTTCGATGAAAGAAGCAACAATCTAGCGTCTAATTTGACGAAGACGGCAGGAAACATTTGTGAAGCCGAGTTATTTACGAAAGAGAGTGTCGATGAAGAGAATCGATCAATGTAGATAGGACCTATTGAAAAGTGACGCGAGATTTGTTTTCCGTACACTGAAGCAATATGACA